CTTCCCTCGCTGACGCGGGCTTCCTGCCTTTCCTGACGCTGCTACAAACAGGCAGCGCTACGTGACTCCCGGAAAAGGCTCCTTCTGAGCGGCAGAGCCTCCCGCAACCTGCCTGCCCGTCGGCACGGAGCAACGCTTCAACAGGCTCCACAGGGCAGGAGCGATTTGGGAAAAACCGTAAGACAACGCTGGCTTTAAATAGAAAATCAGGCTTTACTTTGTACGTACGCAGCAGGCAGATTTAGAGAAACAGCACAAATCTTAGCAACCCCGGCCCCGTTTTAACGTGGGCTTTCACTTCATTGTGAAGCGCTTACATACCCGATTGTTACGGCCAGGCATTAGTCCTAAGCAAGACACTAGCCCATGTCTCTGCAGGACAGTCTCTGCTCTATAAATAGAGAGAATGCCAGTTTTCTAGTCAAGAAAGCTGCTCTCGGTATTTAAATCCGGCTTGCAGACCGCGGGAGGAAACGATTAGGCCACTGCTGGTCCACGTTAGCCAAGGTGGGCTCGCAGCCAGCGCGCCGGGCTCGCGCTTTGTCTCGTTACTCCATTCCATCACAGCCATTCGAAAAGCAACGGGGTCTGCTCACATCAGTAGGAAATCCAAGTGAAAATAAGCTGCACGAACAGAAGGTGCCGTTGGCCGGCAGCTGTAACTGTCACCGCTGTCCAGGGTGGAAAAGAACCAAGGTTAAATGTTGGCCAAACGGCACGTACAAAGGCAACAAGGATTTCCTGATCCCGGCACACTGTAAGGGAACCTCTTCTTCTGCGCAGGGCAAAAGGCTCTTCCCAAGCCTCTGCTGTTGGTGAAACTTCCTGTTAGGGTCTGGAAGGCAACCAGAGGATGTAGTTCCTCACCTTCCTTTAGTTACTTTTTTAGATGGATGTGTTTCTCCAGTATATGAATACATTAAGTAAATTAATTTCCTCCTTTTTCTCTTCTCCTTTTCCTTTCTACAGCTCTATTCTCAACAGAAGTCGAGGGGCTCATGGGGTCTGCAGCACGAGCCGTGCTCCAGCAGTTCAGCTGGCATGGAATTGATACCAACCTTGAGAAACAGCAGCTGGAAAACCCTCTACATCCCTCAGTCCACCCGACTCCCATCCGAGTCGACTGCTTGGGTACGGACATCACTTCGCTTACCTATCACAAGCGGTCATGATCAGGATTAGTGTTGCTGCGGCTCTTCAAGAGGCGTGAAGATTCAGCTGCTCTCCAGTCCTCATTTTTCTCCATTTCTTGCTTTACAGGTATAACTTGCTTCTTTTCAGTATTTCCACAAAAACAGGATGTGATGTTGAGCCACCATGACACACCTCCCATTGACCCCCTCGCGGGTATCATGAGGCTACTTCAAAGCAATCCAAGGCCACTTCAGTTTTCCCCTTTACAGTATACTGAGATACTAGGTGGGATCGGTCCATCACGTATTAAACCAGTCACAAAATGCAATTAGACTTTCCCAGGCTTGGGAATTCATCCCCATCAGTGCAGCTCTAGGTACAAACATTGCCATACTTAAAAAAAAACCCAGCCAAACCAACAACAAACTAAAACACATCACTCTTTTAAGGTGACTGTTTTTCCTCTTCCCAGCAAACAAATGCAACACTGGTTTTTAATTCCAAGCAGCTATTCAGTTCCCCAGTTCCTAGAGTTAAGCAGGGTTTGGTCTTCTTTCTAGGGCAAAGATAGCAAGACTCTCTGATGTACATTTAACTTAAAATTCAAACTTCTGCTTCAAGTCAAGTTGAATTCAACTCCAAAAGCTATTATTTCACCACTTCCTCAGAGGAGTCACCCACCCTCCCGTGTTGGC